TCCATCTTTATCTCTTCTAACAGATTTTATCTTGAAGTCTGCTTTGTCTGACATTAAGAGTGCCACTCTAGCTCTCTTTTGATTATTACTTGCCTGGAATACTTTTTTCCGTCCTTTTCGTTTTCAACCTATTTGTGTCCTTGAGTTTAAAATGTGTCTGTTGTAAATAGCATATAGTTGGATCATGTGTTTTTAATCCATTCCGCCACTCTCTGCTTTTTGATTGGAACATTTAGTCCATTTACAGTCACTATAATTACTGATAAGTTACTTACTTCTACCATTTTTTATTTGTGTTTTGTATGTCTTAAGGCTTCTTGGAGCCCTAGTGGTGCAGTGGTTAGGAATTCGGCTATTCAAATCCACTAGCCGCTCCTTGCAAACCCTTTGGGGCAATGCTACTCTGTCCTGTAGGGTCACTATGGATCGGAATCAACTTGACAGCAAAGGTTTTTGTTTTTTTTAAAGACTTCGTCTTTGTCGTTTACTACTGCTTGGTTTTGTGTTTTGTTGATTTATTATAGTGAGCCATTTTGGTTCCCTCTCTTTTCTTTGTGTGTGTGTGTGTTTTTTTTAGTTTTCTTAGTGGTTACCATGAGTATTACATTTAGCAGCTTGTATTTATGACATCCTAGGGTAAGTTGGTACCAACTTTGGTAGCATACAAGAAGTTCTATATCTAAACCATTCCCCCCACACACATTTTTGTTGTTATCTCTAGTTATGTCTTTATATTTCATGTGCCCTGTAATATAATTTTATCCTTGATTTTTATGTATTTGTTATTAAGAAACATGGAGGACAACATAATTAGAATTATCAAGCATGAATACTTTATTTCTAGCCCTTATGCTTGTCCATGCATTTCCCTTTATTAGGGACCTTTTTGTGTATAGCTTTGAATTACTTTCCAGTGTCTTTTCCCTTCTATCTACAGAACTCCCATTAGTATTTTTTGTAAGGCTGGTCAGGTGGATATGAAATCTCTTAGATTCTGTTTATGTGGGAATGCTTTAATTTCATCTTCATTCTTGAAGGATAGTTTCTGTAGGTTTAGTATTGTTGGTTTGACAGTTTTTTTTTTTTTTTTTCCTTTCAGCACTTTAAATATATCATTCCATTGCCTTCAGGCCTCCAATGTTTCCAAGGAAAAATCAGTACTTAGTCTTATGTGTGACTGTTCGCTTCTTTCTCACTGCTTTCAGGGTTCTCTCTTTATCTTTACTTTTTGAGAGCCTAACTATGATGTGTCTTGGTGTAGCTCTCTTTGGGTTTATTCTGCTTGGGGTTCTTTGAGATTCTTGGATTTGTAGATTCATGTCCTTCATTAGACTGAGGATATTTTCTATCATTATTTCTTCAGATATTCTTTCCGTCCCTTTCTCTCTCTCATCTCCTTCTGGAATTGCAATGATACATATATGAGGTCTCTTGTTGTTGTCCCATAATTCTGTTAAACTGTGCTCAGCCTTCTTGAGCCTCTGTTCTTGTTGCTCCTCAGACCCTGTAATTTTAACTGTCTTATCCTCTTATTGGCTGAGTCTTTCTTCTGCCTGGTTAAATCTGTTGGTAAGACATTCTATTGTGTTTCTCATTTCAGTTACTGTCTCTTTCAGGTGCAGTATCTCTTTTTTTAGACCCTCATTTTGTTCTTGCATTGTTTTTCTTATTTCTTTAAGATCTTTGTCTATGCTTTCCCTTAAGTATTTAATTATGTTTAACATTACTGTATTATGCTCTTCAATTTTTTGTCATTATTTGGTCATCCCTAGATGCACTTTCATTCCCTTTGTCATGTTCATTTGGATAGGTCATTGTTTTTCTGTTCTTCCTGAATCTTGTTATTTTTGGTTGGAGCATTGGAATTTTCAAGGGTGTTAACTTTCTCAATTCTCCCCAGTATTCAGTGGTTTTGCCCACATTGCTTTCTGCAAAAAAACTCTCAGGCAGGCAGAGCCTTCAGCCTTTGCTTACCGTTTCCTCTCCCTCTCTGTAATAGCTCCTTTTCCCTCTCTGGTTTAATTAGGATTCAAAAGTTCCAGATCTCAGCTTTCAACTTTTAGTCTCTACCAAACACACCAGAAAACATGCTGTGATCAATCCGTCCACCAGCCGGCACCACCACTCAGGCAAGATATTGTATATTAATCAATCTGTCCACCAGGGGGCGCCATCCTCTCTGTCTCTGTGTCTCTCGTTATTGCTCTCTTCCCTTCTCTGTTTCTGCAATGATGTTTTCATTCAAAGAACCCATATCCAGTGAACCCCCTTCAGGGCTGGCTGCTGCCCTCCAGTTTTTCCCCAGGCTTCCTTCCTTGCTCTGTGGGCTGCTTCTGTCTGAGCTGGCTTTCAGGCGAAGCACAAGCAGACTTTCCTCTGTTTCAGAAGGAGGAGGGGCTGGCAGTCCTCAGAAGAACCTCCAAGAGATCTGTTTTGTTGGTTTCGAAGTCCCAGTGGCTGTATGGTGGTTGGAAGGGTGGGGGCAGTCTCCTCTTAGGTGATGCTTCTCCTGGCTCCACTGTAGGGAACCTTCTGTAGGAGTTAGTATCAGTCCAGCAGCCGACAATTGGATGGGGGAGGGATTGTCATGCTCTGAGTGGACTCCCAGGTAGGTCTGCCTTGTTGCTATCAGAGCCCACCCTGTAGTATGTTGGCTGTGAGTGTAGCCTCCACTCAAGATGCCTGCTTCCTAAAACACAGCAACCTTAGTCAGCAGTCCTTAGCAATGACCGGAAGGGGAAGCAGACAGACCTAAGTTGATCCCCAGGGAGGTTTATCCTGTTGGTTTCAGAGGTCTGAGCTATGGGGTGCACAGGGAGGCAGGTAGAGTGCTGAGTATGGGAGCAGACCCCACTGCAGTGTCCTTCTGTGGCAGTTTGCAACACCCTGGCAACCAACAGTTACCAGGTGGGGGAGGGGGTGTCACACTCCAGTCAGATCCCCATGGAGTTCTGCCTTGTTGCTATCAGTACTACCCCCCACCCCCAGTAGATTGTTAACTGAGAATGCAGTCTCCCCTCAAGATGCCTGCTTCCTAGCACACAGCATCCTCAAACAGTAGTCTCAGTGCCAACTGGAAGTGGGAGCAGACTAACCCAAATTGACCCCCAGGGAAATTTGTCCTGTTGGTTTCAGAGGTCTGAGCTATAGGGTACCCAGAGAGGCAGGTAGAGTGCTGACTATGGGAGCAGACTGCACTCTAGAGGCCTTCTGTAGCAATTCCCTGCAGGCTTGTAGGTGACAGTTTGGGTGGAGGAGAGGTTGTCACATTCCAAGTGAACCCCCAGGGAGACCTGTCTTGTTGCTATCAGAGCCCCCCCCCCCAATATTATGTTGGCTGTGGGTGTAGCCTCTACTCAAGATGCCTGCTTCCTTATACACAGCAGCCTCGGTCAGCAGTCCTCAGCGCCAACCTGAAGGAGGAGCAGGCGGACCCAAACTGACTCTCCAGGAGGTCTGTCTTGTTGGTTTCAAAGGCCTGAGCTATGGGGTGCACAGGGAGGCAGGTAGAGAGTTGACTATGAGAGCAGATTCCACTGCACCCCTGCAATTCACAGTAGGCTTACAGCCTACAGTGTCCAGGTGGGAGAGGTGCTGACACACTCCAAATGGACCCCTGGGAAGGTCTGCCTTGCTGATTTTAGAGCAGAAGCTTGGGGTCCTGTCTGTTTGTATAGGCAGGGAGTGTGGTGGTTAGGGAAACAGTATCTTTTTCTGGGGCCACTTTCCCAGTTCATAGCACCTGGTGGTCCGCGTGGCTGGTGGTGGGTTGGCAGGGATGGTAGGAGAGGCGGTTTTCCTACCACTATGAATCTTTTTGATTTCTGTATATTTGCTTATTTTATATAAGTGAATATATTTCATACAGTATTTGTCCTTTTACAACTGACTTATTTTGTTCAGCATAATATTTTCAGGGTTCATCCATGTTGTGGCATACATCAAAACTTCATTTCTCTTTGTGACTGAGTTAGTATTCTATTGTATATATGTACCACATTTTGTTTATCCATTCATTTGTTGATGGACATTTCAGTCGTTTCAACCTCTTGGCTGTTGTGGAAAGTGCTGCAGTGAACACTGGTGTACAGGTTTCTGTTTGCATTCCTGTCTTCACTTCTTCTGGGTATATACCTAGGATTGGGATTGCTGGATCATATGGTAGTTCTGTGTTCAACTTTTTGAGGAACCACCAAACTGTTTTTCACAGTGGCTTTACCATTTTATATTCCCACTAGCAATAGATGAGGGTTCCAGTTTCTCCACAACTTCATCAATACCTATTGTTTTGCCTTTTTTTGATCATAGCCATTCTAATGGGGTGAGGTGGTATCTCATGGTTTTTTTTGATTTGTAGCTCCCTAGTGGAGCCCTGGTGCTGCAGTGGTTAAGAATTTGTCTGCTAACCAAAAGGTCTGGCAGTTCAAATCTACCAGCTGCTCTTTGGGACTCCTATGGGGCAGTTCTGCTCTGTCCTAGAGGGTCACTGTGAGTCAGAACTGATTCAACAGCAGTGAGTTTTGTTTTTGTTTTTTTTTTAGTGGAATTCAGTGGTTTTTAATGTTATTTTTATAATAAGAAAAATCATGTAAAATATTACCATTTGGCAGGAGGTTAGTTGGAGTGGGGATGATGAGAGTATGGGGCAAGATGAAGTAAGCAGCAGACACCTGGGCATGCACTTGGGGCTTGCCTGTCTGATGGAGGCTCCAGGTGGCTGCCCACACTTCCTTGGCTCGGGCTGCAGTCTCAGGGGGAGAGCTGTGCCCCTCTCTGCTCAATGTCACCCCGGGGGTTCTCTTTCTGCCTTTTACATGCCATTTGCCCACGGTCCGATATGAGAATCCCTACACTTAAAGAGAAAGCTGCTGAGAGTGGCAGAGGGCAGCGTGGGAGGTTGAGGACCCTGAGAGTGGCAGGAGTAGGACTTCCCATCCACACCTGTGGACCTGTCTTTTGTTGTGTTTTCAGGTGAGCCTCCAAGTACAGCCGTGAATCAGCCTCTTGTCTGACCACCGGTAGCTGCTGCCACCAGCCTCTGTCACCTGCTTCAGGCCTGTCACGGTGCCACCTCTCAGCAGGTAAGGAAAGCGGCTTACTTCTGTCCAGGAGTGGGCATCTCTGGAGAACAGGCATCTTTGCCAGGCGTGTGTCTATGGGCCTGGAATTGAGAGTTGGCTGTCAACCCCGATATGTAGCCAGATGCACAGCATTCATTTTCTAGTCACTATCGTCTCCATATCCCCCTTCCTGCCCTCACATCATCCCCATGTGAGTGGACATGCCTGTGTTGGGGGAGCAGGGGGCCTTCTGAGGCAGCTCTAGTGGGCTGCTGGGCCTTGGCTGAGAAATCCATGCTATGTGCCCCCCTCCAGAGGAAAAGAAATATCCAGATAAGTGTCCTTGTTCAGCAACTCCATGTGACAAAGGAAGGATAGCTAGCACCCCCACCCGTAGTCTAGGCTAGCTGGTCCCTAAGGCCCAGGGGTCTGCATGCACTGACAGCACCCTGCCACCCAATGGGTGTCAAAGCTCAGTGGAGATAAACCATCTTTATAGAGGGCAACTGAAAAGACAGGGTGATCCCCACTCTTCAGATATTCTCAATCCCATGTGCCTTCTCAAATCTAGTCAGAGCAGCAGCACTGGGGCTTGAACCACCTTGCATTGGTCTCCCCCAACTTCGCTTTTGCTGGGTTTTGTACCACAAGACATAACCCATAAGAAACATCCCTGTGAAACCTGTCTGTACGTAAGTGTATTCCTGTGTGCCCAAGGAGAAATAGCCATCTGACCACATTACCAGAGGCCACCTCCTGAGCAATTGACTTTCTTTCCCTTTGCATTGTCTTCTAAAAAGAGCCAAGTGTGTGGTCGACTGGTAACTGAGAGCCATTGTGCATTTCTAACCTCATCCCAACTCTTCTCTGTCCCTACATCTCTTTTCCTTCTTGTAAAACTAACTTTTGGGTTAAGGTAGGGTGTATACATACATACATATATGTAGAGGTAGAGATTTCTCAGTTCACAGGAAATGTGGCATCTAGATCCTCTGGAAAGGTCAGAGATTTCATTAAAGTGGAACCTCCAAGGAACTGGCCTGTTGGGGAGAGAGGGTCTCAGACACTTTCCCAATGGTCATATCTTTCAAAGACTCAGGTTGTCTTTAGCTCTGGATGGCAAAAGCCATTTCCTTCTCCCCAGCCAGCTACCTCTCTGGGTAGCCTTGCTATCTCAGGGGGGTGGCCTCTCCCTGCCATCTCTCTCCAAGTTAGGTGAGGGTTAGGATCACTTGAAGGATGAGTCTGTCCTGGGAGACAGGATGGACCAAGTCTGTGGGGTAAAATCCTATTCCTGCCTCAAAGGCCCTACTAGGCCTAGGAGGGGTGACAAGCTGGTAGCAGCATCAGAGAAATGCTTCCTCCACTTCTACTAAAGAGCTCTGAGAAAGGAAGGAACTTAACCCCCCGACCCAGGAACCCCTGGGTGGTACAAACTGAAATGTTGGTGGTTCGATCCCACCCAGAGGCACCTCAGAAGAAAAGCCTGGTGCTCTGCTTCCTAAAGGTCACAGCCTAGAAAACCCTATGGAGTAGTTCTACTCTGACAAACACAGGATCTACATGAGTTGGAATCAGCTTGACAGCAGCTAAAAACAACCCTCCTGACTGTGTTTTCTTATCTGAAAAATACAGAATTTGGACCTGTACCTCTAAGTACCCTTCTGATATTCACAGTATGTGATTAGAGCCTTGCTATTCAAAGTGTGGTCCATGGATCAGAAGCAATTGGGAGCTTGTTAGAAATGCAACTCTTGGACCCTAATCCATAACTAAATCAAAACCTGCATTTTCCCAAGCTCCCTGGGTGATCCTATGCACGTTAAAATTCAAGAAGGACTGATTTAGAGAACCTTTAAGGTCAACTTTACAAGGTAATTGGAGAATACAAAGAAACAGTAGGGTAGAAACTATTTGCAGCCAGCCGTGGTTCTCAATCTTTGGTGCGTGTCGGAATCATTTAGGAAGACTGTAAAATACAGATGCCCAGGTCTGCTGGGTCACAACCTGGATTCCAGGCTTGTGTGCTGGGGAAGACCTACCCTCCAGCTGGAGAGAGACTGAACAGGCACATAAGACAGCTTCTGGGCCAGTGATGGCAACAAGAGCGAATGTCCTGGGAATGGAATCAGAGAGGCTCGGGGACAGCAGGGCAGAGGGGAGAAGGGAAGCAGCCTTTTTTATCCCTATTTTTAGAACGTTCCTCATTTAGTTATTTAGGGGGGCCCTTTACAAGAATCTAGTAGTTACCGTTCCACCTCCTTCTTGAGCAAAAATGGAAATTGGGGGAGAAGGAGGGTTTTCTGTTCTGTTGTTATTGTTTTCTGTTTTTAGATGGTCAGATGGAAAAGACATGAATATATTTTTATATGCCAAGGAGAAGGATCCCAGAGACACTGGCATTACTGAAGAAAGGGGGTGATTGGTTAACAGAGCCCTTGAGGAGGGACCCCCTGAAGGTGGAAGCATTAGCCTTGGAGAGGAAGATACTTTCAACTGCCAGTAGCAGACTACCCAACATTGCGGCCTTAACTTTGAGAAATATATTCTGTCACATATCAAGGAGTCAGAAGTAGACCTTCCGTTAGCCACTGGTCTTAGGGCTCTGGGTCCCTGTCTCCATAAGTAACTTGACTTTCCCCTCATAGTCAGTGTGGCTCTTGTAGCTCCAGATATGATTCAATCAAGGCAGCCAAGGAGGGGTGTTTCTCCTCTCCTGCCTCTACTAAGGAGAAACCCTTTGTCTTAGTTATCTAGTGCTGCTATACCAGAAATACCACAGGTGGATGGCTTTAAAAAAGAGAAATTTATTCTCTCAGTCTAGGAGACTAGAAGTCCGAATTCAGGGTGCCAGCTCCAGGCAAAGGCTTTCTGTCTCTATCAGCTCTGGTGGAAGGTCCTTGTCATCAATCTTCCCTGGTCGAGGAGTTCTCAGCCCAGGGACCCCGGGTCCAAAAGACATGCTATTCTCCTGGCTCTTGTTTCTTGGTGGTATGAGGTACCCATGTCTCTCTGCTTGCTTCTCTCTTTTATATCTCAAAAGAGATTGACTTAAGACACAACCTAATGTTGCAGATTGAGTCCTGCTTCATTAACAGAACTGCCTCTAATCCTGCCTCATTAACATCATAGAGGCAGGATTTACAACACATGGGAAAATCACATAAGATGACAAAATGGTGGACAATCACACCATACTGGGAATCATGGCCTAGCCAAGTTGACACACATTTTGGGGGGACACAATTCAATCCATGACATTCCACCCTTTAGCCCCCCAAAATTCATGTCCTTGCCACATATAAAACACATTCACCCCATCATACCACAGCAAAATTTTTAAATCAACTCTAAGTTCAAAATTTAAAAATTCCTCTTCATCTGTGAAATCTGGAATACAACTTACTGCTTCCAAATTACAGTGGTAGACCAGGCACAAACTAGACATTTTCATTACAAATGGGAGAAATTGGAGGGAAAGAAGGGATAAGAGGCACCAAGCAAGTCAGCAGAGCACATTACGTTACCCCTCCAGGCTTGAAAATAATCCTCTGTTTTCTGAGACCATTTACACAATGGCCCTGCCCTCCAGACTCTAGGTATTGGCCACCGTCTCTGGATTCTGAGTGGACACCCCTCAGCCCTGGGCTTCAGCTCCGTCTTCCAGGCCCACTGGTACGGCAACTCTGCTTCCTTGGCTTTGGGCAGCCCCATTCTCCAAGTCCATCTGAGTGGCAACTCCACCCTTTGAGATTGAGGCAGCTCTGCTTCCTGTGTTCCTTGTCTCTTCAGCTTCTGCTTCCTGGTTCCTTGGACTCTCGGCCCCTCAGGCCTTGCCACCCATGTCTGCCCTGCTGGGGCAAGTGTTCTAAAGCTCCGTAGCTCTACCAGTAAGTGCCTGGAGCTCCACCAGTAAACTTTGGCCTGAAGGCACTCAGCTCTCTTGCTCCATGAGTCAGCAAGCCTAGCTTCACTGATAAATGCTCAGAGGCACCCCACTCTGCCAGGAAGCCTCCTGCGCAAAGGCACTCAACTCTGTCGCTCCGTAGGTCAGGTCAAGCTCTCTCTCACACTGGTCTTCTGCTTCTGCAGTTTCTCTGCTGCTGCTTCTCACAGTCTGCACCATCTCCAGTGTAACAGCGTTCCTCACTTCCTTCAGAGTCCTCACCAGAATTGTCTTTGATGTCCATAATTCCACAGTCTCTTCAAGGCATCTGGGCTTTTATTATTAGGCACTTTAAAACACTTCCAGCCTTTACCCATTCAGTTTCAAAACCACATCCACAGTTTAGGTATTTGTTAGAGCAGCACCCCACCCTCGGTAGCAAATTCTGTCTGAGTTATCTAGTGCTGCTATAAGAGAAATAACCACAAGTGGGTGGCTTTAACAGAAAAATTTATTCTGTCACAGTCTAGGAGGCTAGAAGTCTGAATTCAGGGTGCCAGCTCCAGGCAAAGGCTTTCTCTCTCTGTCAGCTCTGGAGGAAGGTCCTTGTCATTAATCTACCCTGGCCAAGTAGCTTCTCAGCACAGGGACCTACGCTGTTCTCCTGGCTCTTGTTTCCTGGTGGTATGAGGTCCCCCGTCTTCTCAGCTTGCTTCTCTCTTTTATATCTCAAAAGAGATTGACTTAAGACGCAACCTAATCTTGTAGGTTGAGTCCTACATCAGTAACATAACTGCCTCTAATCCTGCCTCATTAACATCATAGAGGCAGGACTTACAGCACATGGGAAAATCACATCAGATGACAAAATGGTGGACAATCACACAATACTGGGAATCATGGCCTAGCTAAGTTGACACACATTTTGGGGGGACACAATTTAACCCATGATTCCCTTTCTTTTTTTATTGTGCTTTAGATGAAGGTTTACAGAGCAAATTAGTTTCTCATTAAACAATTCATACACATATTGTTTTGTGACATTGATTGCCAACCCCACAACATGTCAATATTCTTCCTTTCTCGACCTTGGGTTCCCTGTTACCAGCCCTCCTGTCCCCTCCTGCCTTCTCGTCCTTGCCCCTGGGCTGGTGGGCCCATTTAGTCTCATTTTGTTTTATGGGCCTGGCTAATCTTTGGCTGAAGTTGCAAACGTCAGAAGTGACTTCAGTACTAAGTTAAAAGGGTGCCCAGGGGCCATATTTTCGGGGTTTCTCCAGTCTCTGTCAGACTCTTTTTTAGTGAGTTACAATTTTGTTCTAATTTTTCAGGGAGAAACCCTTTCTTAGGGTCCCTGCAAGCTTCCCCTTGTGTCCCATTGATTAGGACAAGGCCACATGCTCTGGCCATACTGCAAGGGAGTCAGAAAAGTGAGAATCTGCATTTTCATCCCCTCTAGTAGCAGGGACAGCAGGTAAGCGAAGAGGTGTTGCGCAGGTCACCAACAGATCTGATGCAGAGGGACAGCTGCTCCACTGAAATGGAGGCCAAGGTGGGTGTAGACACAGAAGCTGTAGGTAGTGGGGAAAAGGGAAACATCAAGGAGGGTTATGCCTTAGTGGCCTTTTTCTCTTTCCTGTGGGAGCTGAGGTCATCAGCTAAGAATGAGACAACAGAGATGGTGATGACGTGATGAACATTGAAAGAGTCAGGAAGACGGGAGGTAGGGGATCATCTTCAGGCAGTTTTGAGGACCCAGATAATGCTGGATTGTGAATGTATGATGGTACCAGTTCCCAGAGATTTGGGGCTTTGTGGGAGGGCTTTTCCAGCAGTGCTTAGCAGCCCTTCAGTGTGAGTGGAGGGGGAGGGAATTGGGTTGATACATAGTCTGGGTTTAGGGAGAGAAGGAGGGACAAGGGAAGTAGAGAATTTTGGGGAGAGGGTGATGGCAATCCTGGATCATGCCATTTAGGCTGAATATGGAGCCCACTGAAGCTAGGAGAGGCCAGTTGTTTAGGAGCCAGCTTGGAGGGGCTGGTGCTTTGAGGTCGAAGAGAAGGAATAAGGGAGTGAGAGAAGGATCAGAGGCTGTGGCCAGCTGCATCACATGGAGCCCAAGTGGGCAGCCCTATAGTGGTGGGCCAGGTCCAGGGGCACCTTGACTGTGGTGCTGGAAATGGTTTAGGGTATGGACACAGGTGGTGGAACTGAGGAGATGGGGGAACTGAACAGAAAGAACTTAGAGCAGATTGGAGTCAGTGCAGGAAGATGTCCTGCATTCCTGCAGCTGGAGCCACCCAGAAGGTGGGATCCCCATCCCCCCACCAGCTTACTTTGTCTCCTGGACACAAAAGGAAGATATTGCTCAGTGTGAGTCTTCTCAGATATTAAGCATTCAGAGTTCTCCTTTTGTGTAGTGGAGTATGTTGACAATAGTCCCTTCTTTGAAGAGAGGTAGGATGAGAAAAGTGCTGAATGGGATCAAGACATTATAAATACGGCCAGTCCCAGGAACAGAGGGAAGGGGATCTGATGAGACTCCGATTCTGCTGGCAACATTATCTGTACATTTTCACAATCACACACACACACATACTCATACTCACATATTCACACACAGCCTCACAGACTCACGCACAGCCTTACACACATTCGCACTTACACACAGCCTCACTCACAGCATTACACACACTCTTACTCTTGTACACACACACACACACACACATAGCCTCACTCACAAACTCACATACTCGCACACAGCCTTATACACACTCATACTCTCACACACACACACTCATCTCACACTCGCATGCACATACCCAGAGTTGCAGAGCCTTTCCCCCTCACTTTGCTCTTCCCCGACACCTTCTTTCTTCACTCCTGATGATCCCAGGCTCTGCTTCCTTCTCCTCAGCCATCTGTCTTCTCTTTGACTTCCCCAACTCCTGAAAGCCCCAAGTCAATGGTGAGGAAAGAGAGAGATGGATTCTAGAATGGGGAGAGGATGATCAGAATTGGAGGACAGTGATTTCAGGCCCTCTTTTGCTTGCTTCAGGCCGACAACAGTTGGGAACTTGACTGTGCTCCTCCCCGCATTTTGTGTGGACACACAGGGACCAGACACACAAAACACCACATCTACATGGAGAGGGTCTCACATGCACACAGGCACAAGGCATGGGCCCGCGGGCACGCACCAGGACACCTGCAGGCCCAAACACACATGCAGGCATGCAAACATATCTCCTTAGGTGCATGTTTCCTGAGTCGCAAAACCCCCAACTGCTCATGGTTCTTCTTCTTGCTGAGTAGAAGGTCTCAACCAAGATAGAAGCTCACCTGTTAAACTTTTGATTTAGGAGGCTTGTGCATGTTCTATAACAAGAATTGTTATTTTTTAAAAGTTCCTGTGGACAAATGAAGTTTCCATCGTGCTCCAGACAGCTCATTCATGAAAAGCCCACAGAGAGAGAGTGGCCAGGATCCTGGCTGAGGCCACCTCATGCATCAGTCTGCACCACTGGAAGCCATTGTCACTTATGCTTACAGTGACCCATCCCCACCTCTCAGACTGTATTGTTAGGCCTCCTCCAAATAGTTTCTCATTAGATAGGATAAGTGAACTCTGCAGCATCTGCTTTATTGTGGGACAGTTGGCATTGCAGAGGTCTTAGTCACGTGGCATTATTACATGTCAGGTCAAGGAGAATTTCTTCCTCTTCCTGAAAAGCAAATCTATGCTTGTGATGGGTGTGTGTGATATCGTTTGAAAACAGACTCCCAACATAAAGTCAGTAAAAATTATGGAATTACAGCAAATTAAATTCATAATAAAGCAGTTTTACTCATCAGAAACATAAGCTTAGAGCCGTAGATTGCTAAGAGAGGCCATGGGAGACATTGGAAAGAACACTTAGGTAGGCTTCAAAGGTTTGAGTTTGGGCTCTGAATCCACAAATTTTGTCTGTGGGATGTTTGGCTGTTGTCTTAATTTATCTGATTTTTCTACTTTGTTCATTTACAAAACAAACATTAATATTGTTCTGCCTGCTTCATGGGCTGCTATATGGAATGAATGATCAAACGTATATGAAAATGATTTATTACTACCAAAGCACTGTACAAATGTCAAAATATTACTTATGGTTGGAGGGGGGCTAGTAAAGTAACTCTGGTGCCATCACCTTCTATTGACTATCTCGGGCTTACATCAGCTTACATCAGACTCTTCCAGGTCTGATCAACTCTTCAAATCAAAGAATAAATATCTTGCTCCCATAAACCTAGTCAAGTGTTCCTTTCTCTTTGTTGTTGTCAGTTGGAGACCTCATGTACAACAGAACGAATGTTGGCTGGTCCTGCGCCATCTCCATGGTCTTTGGTATGCTTGAGTCCATTGTTGTGGCTTTCTCTTAGCGCATGAGAATTTGCCACCAAGTGCCACCCATGCTCCCAGAGCTCCCTAACTTGGACTTAACCTGTCTTTGGAAAAACAGCTTTCCAACAGTATAACTCTGGTTGCTTTCAGGGGCAGCAGAATGAAAGAAGGGATGTCCAATAACAGCACCACCAGCATCTCCCAAGCCAGGAAAGCGGTGGAGCAGCTGAAGATGGAAGCCTGCATGGACAGGGTGAAGGTAAGCATGCCTAAGCCAGCCTCACCATCTGACCAAAACTCATCCTAACACACTCCTCCCATTCCAAAGCAGCCTTGCAAGAGTTAATATGTCACCTAACAGAACATCCAACCCACCTTGGCAGCTGTAACATTTACAAATGAGCACTTGCTTCAGAGTCCTGAGTGTGTCCGAGGATTCAAATGCTGCAAAATACACAGTGTGCACTAGTTCCTTAAGGAGTTGCCAGAAATAGGCTTATAGTCATCTCAGCTCTATTTAGTTCTGTTGTCATGCCAATAGGTGAGAGAGTTAAACAATGAAATCAGTCACAGTTTTCCTGCCTGATACCATGACTTTGCAGTTAGACAGCATCAGATATTGTGACAAGGGCACCGTTAGAAGTGAAGCTTTGAACCGTACACCGTGTTTGTCAAATGTTCCTTTGAGGAAAGTGAAGAAAGGTGCCAGCCACGTCTCGCTGTGCTCATTTCACTGATGAGAGTAGATCTCTTCATGCTGGGAGAGCTGAAGCGCAAGATAAGCCACCTGTTATCCAGATGCCACTTACGTAGAGGCAAGCAGGAGGTGGGAAATGCATATAGCAGGGAGATGCAGTTTGGGCATTGACTGAAATAGAGTTGAAACCTGGTTATCAGCCTGGCATCAGAACACTGAAGTCCAGTGTGTCTTAGGGTCTTTGGGGAACAAAACCAGGGGGTCTCTCCCAGGCATCTGGAATTCAAAAAAGAATCCACAGGGAAGCGGGCAACTGTTAAAGCTTCTGTTGGCAGTCCTTCCTGAAGGCTCCCATCACGGAGACTACTCCTCATGCTAGTGGTGTGGCACCAGCTCTCACCTCTATAAAGGTAGTTAGTATCTTCCCCCAGGGTTTGGGAGTGCAAGCTATCCAAGGAGGCAGAAAGCATGCCCATAAAATGACACAACAGTGTATGAGGCAAGCAAAGTACAGTATTATATAGATTTGTATAACTGGACCAGAGCTACCCGAGCATCTGTATTTTGCATGTACTGATACCAACTACAAATTAGACATCAGTCCTTGATTTCTAGACTAGAGGAAGGAGCAAGGTTAATACCCATAAAGCTACTGTAAAATAGAGTAAGCCCCAACAGTACAGAAAGGAATTAAAAAATGAGTGCTGCTTACCCAAAGGACATGAAAGCAGGGATGCAAACAGACTTGTTCATCAATGTTCATTGCAACACTAGTCACAATGGCCACAAGGTGAAAACAGCCCACGTGTCCTTCAGCAGACGAATGGATACACAAAGTGTGGCATATCCATACCGTGAACTATTCCTCAGCCATAAAGAGAAATGAAGTCCTGATACACGCTACCACATGGGTGAACCTTGAAAACATTATGCTGAGTGAAATACGTCAGTCACAAAAGGACAAATATTGTGTGATCCAACTTACATGAAATATTTAGAATAGGCAAATGAATAGAGACCAAAGTTTATTAGTGGTTACCAGGGGCTGACAGGAGAGAGAGGGAAAAGAAGGGGGACTTACTGTTTGGGAACACTGAGCTTCTGTTAAGGGTGATGGAAAAATTTGGAAATAGATAATAGTGATGGTTGAACAACATGAACTTAATTAATGTCGCTGAATTGTACATGTGAAGAATGGGAAATGCACTGAAACCAAAGTTTATTAGTGGTTGCTAGGGGGCACGCAGGCAGGGAGTATGGGGAGGTATTGCTTAAGGGGCACTGAGTTTCTGTTTAGGGTGATGAAAAGCTTTTGCAAATGGATAATGTGGTGGTCGCATGACATGGTGAATGTAATTAATGCCACTGAATTGAACATTTAAAAATGGTTAAAATGGCAAATTTTTGTTATATATACTTTTAGCACAATAAAATCGTTTTTAAAAAATGGGTGCTGCAGGCATTCTGCATCACATGGAGAGGTGGAGGCCTGTGGGGGACTCCTTTTCGGATGAGCACTCCTGAGCAGCACTCTGCACCCAGCGCTGTCCTAGGACAGCCTGAACCGACCGCGCTCTGCCTGCTGCTCGGAGAAGTCCTCTTGGAGTTCGAGCTGTGAGCTGGTGCTGAGCTGGCGATTGGAGGAGAAGGAAAGGACTTGGCTGGAAGAGCCACAGGTGGTGCTGGGAAGACGGCTTTGGGCAGCATGGGGTGGGGCGAGGTGCTGCTGCTAATAATCAGCACCTTGAGTACACAGGTGCAGATCATAGAAACAATTAGGTGTGAAGGTGAAGCCGGAGGGCAGGAGTTGGAGGTCATCTAGCCTGTCAGCAATAAAGTTGTCAGAGGTGTGGCAGCAGTTGCAGCTGGTGGTGTAATCAGGAGAGGGGGCGTAAGGGCAGACACAGGCTGTGGTGGGGAGCAGAGAAAAAAAGTCAGGTGTGAGAGGCAGGTGCACCTGTAGAATTAGCAGAACTTGGAAACTCAATGTGGGAGACACTAGAGAGAGAGAAGTTAGGACCCAGTGTCCCACGTCCACGGCAGAGGACTGGTTTTGGCAATAGGACAGTTGGCCATGCTGGGAGTTTCACTGGTGGTGCAGAAGGTCAAGTGCTCGGCTACTAACCGAAGATTCGAGGTTCACATCAACCCAGAGGTGCCTCAGAAGAAAGGCCTGGTGATCTATTTCCGAAAAATCAGCCACTGAAAACCCTAAGGAGCACAGTTCTACTCTGACACACATGGGGTCACCATGAATGGGAGTCAACTAGATGGCAACTGTTTTTTTTTTTTCAGTTTAAACAGTAAATGATAGAAAGAAACCAAGTGGAAAGAACAGAGGAACTGTTTGTAAAATTCATTGAACTCACACAGACTGTGACAGGAATGCCAGGTCCAGATGAAGACCCTGAGACTGACTTTCTGAGGACAGAAAGGGTAGGCCGCGCTGACTGCATGGTGGGAACGCAGACAGGGTGAGCGTGCAGTGCCTTCTACTGGCTGGAAGAACAGCCAGAGGCTCCGTGGGAGAAATAATTGCAATTAAGAGTCGCACAGAGCTGGCTCCCGTGGGGAGCATGACAGATGGGGACCCAAGGGGAACAGCCTGGACTAGGGCAGACATCAGGCATAAAACCAATGAGAGCCTACGGGGCGTGGTATATTCCCAACCAGAGCATCTCCAGGCTTTGTGTTCACTGTGCTTGAGTGTGTGTCTGAGGAGGAAGGAAGGAAAGGACCGTGTTTGCCACTCAAGAAAGAGAATAAAGGGGGGGTCCGTCACAGGGGAGAGAAGGGAAAAAAATAACAGCATTAAGCTCAGCTGTTGTTTGGGTGGTAAAGATAAGAAAAATAATAATAATGAGAACTCGGAGATCTTTGGGCAGTTTGTGGCGGTAAAAATGCAGCCAAAATATTCACTGTCGTCTTGAAGTCTTGTTTGCCCCCCTCAAAAAAAAACATCATTTGCCCAGAAGCACTTGTGCAAATGTAGACTTTCTTCCAGAGTTTGTAGGAGATGCAGAGGGGAGACCTGTAGCCCACAGCAAGACTTCAACCCACACAGCACTCAGCACCCTTCTTGCCCCACCCCACCTTCATTCATTTAATGTTTATCTAGTGCCTCCCTCTATCCTGCCCCCGCCCCCATGACCACCTGCCACGCTTCCCATGCTACTCTCCTCTGTCATGCTGAGGACTTCAGTTAGTCCCCAACTTCTGTCCCTACATGCAAACCAGCGCTCAGCAAACAGTACACAGCCGTTTACCAAGCCCGCAGCTGAAAAGGTAGGCTAGTGGTCATTGTCGTTTCTTTGGCATGCTTTTCAGGGTCTCACTTCCTAGAAGCTCATCAAGGCATTTTGCCAACAAACGTGGGTGTTCCTCTTTGAGAACCTCCATCAGCTGCTAAAAAATTTAAATGTTCTCCACCTTGTCGTAGTACAAACAAGATTCAACATAGAATTTGTACGACATTGCAAAGAGCGAAACGCATGGAATATAATATTCAGGTTCCTAACAAATAACTAGAGAGCACATAAAAGATGAATTTAGGAAACTATTTTGGCCCTCTTTTTTTTCACCCATGATAGGCTCAAACAATATAAAATTCTATCAGAAAAGGACTTACATGACACTTACCATCAAATAGGGAAACTTTGATGAGCAACAATGGCAGAGATGAGCCAAACAGTATAAAAGGCTTAACTAGAGAAGATAGTGTCTGGGACCTGCCTGGGCTGCCTGAGAGCAGAGTTCAACTTCAGAGAAGTTGGTCTCCCGTGGGGGTGAGGTACAAAGCTCCTGCACAGTCCCTAGGAGGCAGGCTCCCAGGTGGGGATCAAAGACCCAGAAGGAAAGGAGCTTCTAGAAGGAGTACCAAATGGTGGCCTGTCTCCATTTGCCACCACTCAGGCTACCCTGGTTCTCCTGCCCCAGAGGAAAGGGGATTCGCTGACATTGGACCAATCCCATGGGCTGTGAGGCTTTGGAGGTGGCTACCTCTTGAGCAAACCAGCAACTCTCAGCAAGGAATGAGGAAACAGATGTAGCACCTGGCAAGTGACAGACTTGCCAAGGAAAACTAGCCAAGTAACATTACTCCCAATCACTCTTATTTGCCTTTATGGCTTATGGTAAACAGGTTGCGGCAGAGTTGACTTTGAGTCATGGCAACCCCATGCGTGTCAGAGTAGAACTGTGCTCCATGTGGTTTTCAATGGCTGATTTTTCAGAAGTAGATCACCAGGCCTTTCTTCATGGCTCCTTTAGGTGGATTTAAACATCCAACCTTTCGGTTAATAGCCAAGCACATTAACCATCTGCACTGCCCAGGTACTCCATGACCTATGGTAGATGACTTAAACATTGTGGGTTGTGCTAATAATCCCTTAAATGGCTGTTGAATAAACAAATTGTCACACTGAGATTAATTTTGTCAACACAGGTGTTATTTGCTGATTGTTGACAGATATATCAACCTGTTGTTGACCTATGTTCTATAGACTATTAAAAAATGAGGGCATGGAAAGGATTTCGGGTGATGAATGCCGCTATGAATTGAA